TTTTTAATCTCTATGGTGCGTTCAGGGCTTTTGAAGAGACATGCTCAATTGGTCCCCAAGACATCAGCTGGCGAACTGTGTGACCGAATACCACTGCGCCCGTGTAGATTCTAGATTACTTCCTGTCCCCTAGATATATTTTGACTGAGCGTGTCCAGACTAAGGAAAATTGGTTGTACAATAAATAATTTATTCAGTGAGATAATGTAAATGGTTAACTTACCATCTTTATTTAGAGTAGAATATTGTGATATAAATGATCCACAACGTGTATGCACATCATGTTGCGTTCTCTGTTAAAGGGATAGTACTAACTTGAATGCACTTTATCCATGCTATGCCGTACGACGCATGCATAGAGTTAGTAACGTTCGGTAGAAAATATTACGAAGGGGACAGAAAAGAATGATTTATCAGGTGCCGGTTCCCTTTCATTTTGCGCGTCTGCGTTCTGTCTCTCTAATACACATGTAATATCACGCCGAAACTATGAACCACTCAGGAAGCGAATTTAGTCGAAATTTTTGGAGATGTGTTAGCACATGCTCTACTCTGAAAATAAGACAGTCCAAATGTATCGAGGATTGTGCTCAAGGAAGAGACTAAATTTCCCCCAAACGACCACTTATTTCGAGTTTCACATTAAATAGAACGACATTCACCATCCAAACAAGGGACATCGTTTTGCTGCGCATGAGAGGATTGAGCCAGTGATTCTATGGGGAACGCATTTTACTAGCAAATATAAATTGTTCGAAATGAATGCGGTTGACTAAATACAGTTGACAAATAGATGTTTTTTTATCCCTAAAACACGGGTTTCTATTAATTATCACATTGATTTGCACGAGAACATGAAACCTGGTTGAATCAGTTTCAGTGCTACAAATAACATTAGGCCACAATTATTTTTAAAATGGTTACTAGACAGGGTCTTATTTTCGACGAAAAACGATACGAATCTCATGGTTATGGTGAAACATGCCTGAAGAAGACAATCTGCACCTCATCACTCAAGAAATTGGTTATGCTATGCAAATCAATTTCTGCCATTCATATTGGCCTTTTAAAACACAAGTCAGTTCTTGCTTAGCGATTAGGATCTTCCTCAGATGGAGATTTGCATAGAGTTTCGAAAGACCTATTGAGAGATGATATTCTATTATTTATCAGATGTATGCTTTTAGTGCTTCCATCAGACATGTCAGTTTTAGTTCTACTGTGCTGGGTGGAATCCATTCCCCAAGTGCGAAGTCACCAAATCGGTTGGGTGGTTCGAATTTCATTCAGTGAGATAATTTTATGCATACGGCTCACTGCAGGATGAAGAATCCAATCAGGGTATATTAGATTTAATATACAACAAAAATTAATATGGAACGAATCGATCTGAATCAATTCGGATAATCCAAGGGGGCATGGGAGATTTAATCGGCTAGCCACAATTAAATCACTAATCCAATCAAAATTATTTGTTACATAATGACGAGGGTTAAAAAATGTAGTATAGAATAGACTTATAATGATAACTACAGGATGTCTTTATACTGCTTAGTTATACCAGTGTTTTGAGTTACTACTCACATTTGCGGGTGGTATGTAAAATATTGCGGTTAGCGGTTTCCTTCAACGATCAACAAGACCACCGAGGGCGAATTAATGTGTCTCAAGGAATAACTACGGACGGCTCCATTCATTACCCTGTTTGCGGCCGGAAATTGTGATGACATGTTCCAAATGAGATATCTGTTATATGTATACCAAATTATTTCCAGCCTAACTGTAATCTGCAATAATCAACTATCCTTGATAAGGCATGCCTTGGGGAATTGCGACACCAGGATTACGCATTTGACAGCAAAAACGAGACAATCGAACCACCCTCCCCGCAATTAACTGCAAATGCAACATTACTGTGTTTGAATGGTGGGACATCTGTGTTCATAATCAGGTGGATAACTCTATGATTGATATTTTAATTCATATTACAGTGTGATTATTGATGTATGACAAGTTTTATTTTCATTTTAACAGATTGAACTTCCAAATTTGTATTCACTCATGATCTGCAGTTTATCTAGTTTACCGTTCACTCTAAAACACCGACTCGTGTTCCGTTCTCATTAAGTCTCGTCAGCAGTCCATACGCATACAGGATTTAAACCCTAGAATCCTCGCACATAATGTCTGAGTATGAGGCTGATCAAAACTTACTGCATGCAGATTATTCAGTTATATTCATTGACAACCAGTCACTTTGAGGCTCGATAGAAACGAAGGGTAGATAAGTAAGATATTGAAAACGAAATAAATCTAACCCACAGTGGAGAGAATTGTTTACATCACGGAAGAATATCTGGGAAGTTACAAGGAAGCATTTCCCTAAACGCAGCGATCTTCAGGACCTGAAAAGATTTTAATTATCCTAAATATAAATCCTTTGACAGATTTGTAAACAACGGTGTTGATGATTATTTTTAAAAATGTGAACATACCATTACTACTTTTACTACTACAGAATAAAATACAGTTAGGTGACTGTCTCAATAGACTTTTAACTTTGTTGCACAACTTTACAATAACCAAGCACAAATACATTCAACTGGCAAATTGATAAACAGAAAAGATGAAAATAATACCGTTTATCATTGAATATATTTACGTTTTCAGTTTCTGTCATTATATTACCGACTAATTGCTCAAAAGTAACAGGATTGCAACTTTCAAAAATACTAAATATGATAACTGCATTATCATTTTTTCCGTTACTAATTAATATAAAATACCCGCATATTATCGTAGTTCTGTTTATGAATTGATTATTAAAGAAAAAGCAAAATTTCAGAGACAGCTTCTTTCCATTCATTAAAAGTTCATTCCGGATATCCTGACAGGCACAATTCTCCCTTGGGTAATTTTTTACTGTGTTATTCCATCGAAGTGGAAGTTGTTCCACAAACCCAGATTAGCATAATCACGAGTAGTACATAAGAGAATGCAACATTTTACTTCTCTAAGCCCCTCAGTTCTGTGTTTACCAATGTTTTTGTCATGACAACCGGAGAAGCAACAGACAACAATGCATCCGCATGCCATCTTTATAGTTTGGAGTCTGAGATTCACAGAAACGCACGTGATGTATTTATTGACTCCACCAGACAGTTCAAATGCATCAACCAATCTCAGTAAAGTTCACGTGGCACACACTCCCCACATACAAAGCATAATGCGCCGTCCAGTTTACTCCAATTGCCCGAATGGACGTGAAACTGTCCGAATCAAAAGGCATACTAGGTGTGTTTAAGCCACATCGAGACAAGGAATATTATGCACAGTTGAAACAAGTTCAACCGGATTTAAGTCGAATGACCTATAATGAGCTGAAGGTGGCCACAATGCGTGCTTTCACCACCATCAACTCCCTCGATGGTAAACTTGGTTCTAGCGAATACCGTGAAGCGTATCAAGATTTGGTCGGTGCTGAAGGATTCCGACGGACGCAATCGATACACCAGTGCACTCAAGGCAATCCGATAACCATTTTAGATCAAGATATGAACAGACTGCCGAAAATTAACAACTCGAAATGAGAGGGATGTATCTAAGCTGCTGACGTTTGAATAGTCGTCGATCCTAGTGAGTCCCTCAGGAAAACATTTTATGTGACCATAAATTCTCCGGCAATCATCCCTGTCTCGTATCACCCACCCAACCTTCCTCATCCCTCCACCACCTTCCACCCTTCACGTGTCCCCCCACGTGAGACTATTTTGTATGCAGGATTTTCGTTTGTTCGTTCGTCCACTTTTCTCTTACCAGTGAACGGTTGAATTAGCAACGAGCCAGAGGACCAAAAAATATTTGGAATTGGGCATCTTCGGAGGGAAAATCTGATGTAGTCAGATTGCGAAAATAAAATAATCATTTTGGATTTATTTCGTTCTCATGTCACACAGAATTTCTTAATGAAAATCAATTCACGGTGACAAAAAGCTTGTCGGAATGCCTACTTGACCTTCTGGTTCGAGTTTGTCAAGGTTAAAAACAGCAAATTCCATAAAAATTACCAAAAATAAGAGAAGCAAACGGACGTTTCAAGAAGGAAGTTTCGAGTCTATTAAATACTTCTTGTTGTAAAATATTCTGAAAAAATACTTAAATCACGCTTGCGGCGGTCAATAGCGTCTAAACCACATGTATATGTTTGGTCAGTCTTTTCGGAGCTAGTCAACTTATGAATCAATAATACTATTTAATGTTCTGTA